TCAGACCTGATTTACACCAGTGTGAGATCAGAATCTGGCCCCCTGCAAACTACAGAGAAAGAGAGACGCTTAGAAGGAGAGAGAGAGGAACTGATCAAAGGTACAACGAATAAAGTGGCTCAGAAGGGGGCCAAGAGGAATCAGAGCTTCTTTGTCACCTCTGAAAAGCATCCAATACCTTTTTCTCCCATCCTTTTCCTACCTCACAGTCCAGTGAAACAGCTATTGCAATAAATCCAAGATCACCAAGCAGCTTATGCCAGCATTTTAATACTACTACTAATAATTAATTATTACCACCATAGTGCAGGGGTGGGCAAACTTTTTGGCCCGAGGGCCACATCGGGGTTGTGCATGGAGGGCTGGGTAGGGAAGACTGTGCCTCCCCAAACAGTCTGGCCTCTGCCCCCTCCCACTTTCCGCCCCCTGACTGCCCCCTCAGAACCTCTGAGCCATCGAACTCCCTGTCCCCTGACCGCCCCGTCCCAGGATCCCCACTGCCTATCCAACCCTCTGCTCCCTGTCCCCTGACTGCCCCGACCCCTATCCACACCCCCACCCCCTGACAGCCCCCCCGGGACTCCCACCCCCTATCCAACCGCCCTCTGCTCCTCATCCCCTGCCCACCCCTTCCCGGGACCCCCTGCCACAACTGTCCCCAGGGATCCCACCCCCTTATCAAAACCCCCCTGCTCCCTGTCCCCTGACTGCCCGCCTGACCCCTATCCACATTCCCGCCCCCTGACACGGCCCCCCGGGACTCCCACTCCCAACCCTCCCTGTTCCCCATCCCCTGACCGCCCCCCCAGAACCTCTGCCCCATCCAACTGCCCCCTCCTTCCTGACTGGCCCCCAGAACCTCCCGCTCCTTTACCCAACCCCCCGGCTCCCCGCCCCCTTACCACAACCAGGAGCTCGCAGCCACGACACCTGGCCAGAGCCAGCTGCACTCCCCACACTGCCCAGCAGGAGCGGCGGGCCAGAGCGCAGTCCGCGCAGCCCATGCAGCCCGCGCAGCGGCATGGCTGCCGGGGAAGGGAGACAGCAGGGGAGGGGCCGGGGACTAGGCTCCCCGGCCGGGACCTCAGGGGCCGGGCAGGACGGGCCCGCGGGCCATAGTTTGCCCACGTCTGATTTAGCTGCATAGCATCATTTCATAGAGTTTCCTGCTATTATTGAGGATGGATTGTACCTCCTTGGAACACACTCTCGTTAAGCTCGTTATCCATCCAAATACCAGGCTGTTAGATAGAGGGATGCTCGGTTGGGATGGTTGGTCCTGCCTCTGTTCTGTGTTAGCAGGTTCAGAAACGATCGGATTCCTATGCATGGGAGCATTAGCATCTGGAGGATGCTGGTGAACCAAAACTGCCTCAGCTAGTAGGGTGCCACAAGAATCACTCACACTCTGTCCTGCTTATTTTTTTTTCTAGGACTCAGGGCCAGTGATGCAGTACTAAACTGAATAGTACTGGAACCCTGGTTTTGCATGTTGTGGAATCTGTCCTCAGGTAAGTAAGCTGTGCCTGAAATCGAATTCAGAGTTGCGCCGATCAATTCTGTACCTTGTTCTGGAACTAAAATGGACTTTTCTAGGTTTACTGGACATTTCTGTTGCTGCTCTGATGTGGAACCAATGGTGCAGCCAGCAAATCGCTCCCTCCTCCTCTCTCTTGCCAGTGTTGGCGATGGTCCCACCCCTTCCTGAAGCTGGCTGTTTAGGAGAACTCGATCTTTAGCACCGACAGATTGGACCAATGGTCCCCATGAGTTCCTAACACACCCAATACGAGGGTGCGGCATCTCACCCATTTGGAAGGTGGGGGGACGACAACTGGGAAGTGGGGGGGCGGTCTTCTTATTAGAGGCTTTAGGAAGGGATCTTTACTATTTCTTACCCTCCTCCCATCTCTTCCTAGAATCTCTAGGCTTGGCATCTGATGGTCCAGAGCTGGGAAGTATCTGGCCAGGAGGTGCACTACTAGGTGACTCCTGTCGACGAATGGGGAGCGAGAGCAGGGGTCTGACAACCAGATTGGGAGCATATCAACCGCTCCATTAACTGTCTATGAAGCCAAAAATTGCGGGATTGCCAGGTTTGAAATGAATGGCAAATATTGGGATTAGGGGGATTCTCCAAAGTAATATCCACAGAAATCATGAAGATCACTCACTGGGAAGATCAAGAGGCAGGCCACACCAGATTTGAAGCCTGAGATTTTAGGCATGCTAAGAACCCCAAACGTTAGGATTAGGAAGGGGGTGATGAGGATGGAGAAAAAACCTTAGACCCCCAAAACACTAGCTAACTACTAAAACATCAAAACTAGCTAGCTAAGGGGGGGGAAGAACTATTTACACAATGGAAGCTAAAATTTTAGCAGGAATGCTAGAGAAGCTGCAGACTCTGAGGAGTTCAGCCCCAGACCACGAGCCATAGAGAGGAATTGGAGGGCATCCCCTAATGCCCTTGGTTCAGAGCACGAGGAGGCACAGGCATGACCAATGCACACTACTAGCATGAAGTGTCTGGTCTCAAAGTGCATGTGTGCCCCACAGTGGAATACACATATAGGGACCATCACTTGAAGAAGAGCTAGTACTTGGTTTCTATACACAGCATCTAGAATCTTTCCTCACAACCTGCTCAATATGATCTTAAAACGAGAGCAGTTGTACTGGACTGAGAGCTGTCCTTGGTGCAGCAGTAGGTTGTGAAATGCCCCCACTCCCTCTAAGCCACCCCTCCAAGACCATCATTCCAGCAGCAAATGACACTGTAGCAAAGGAAGGCTGTGAGATAAATGCCCAAGTTATAAACACATGTTGGGTTTTCTATACATTTGTGAAGCATGGGGACATTATTTGCTGACAAGCCAACGTTTCTATTAGTCCAGCACAGGAAGAAATAAAAAACAAACAAAACCATGAAGGGGGGAAATGGAGAAACAAAACTCCCAAACTGTTAAAGTGAACTGCAATATAATAGGATATTGTATTTGTTAAATCTCAAAGATTAAATACAACTTTAAGCAAGAGTCAGTTGGGAAGCCGCCATCTTGAATCTGATTAAATAGAGAAGGACTGAGAATGCAGAAACAGTTGCAATGTATGAAAAAGAAGAGGAGTTTAATTTAAAAAGAACTAAAAATCCCCAAATCCATGCCCTTCAGATGCTTTAGCCACTGTTACAGTAACACAGAGTACTAGAACTACTCTTCTAACAGTGAAAGTCCCTGCTTTCCAATCGGTTCTGCATTCTCATGCCTATTCTGAACCAGACAACTGCACTTTCAGCAGCAAGTGCTATGCTTTATCAATACAAAGGCAGCTTCTGCTTCCACTTCCACGACGAGGGTTATAGTTATGTAGCTAGTGAGATAGTGGCAGACATTTCTAGAAACTGTTTAAAAAATTCGTTATAATGTTTATTTTTATACATAGATTTATTTTTGTTCAGTAAGTGTGTATCTAAGATGTAATAGTTAGTCTCTGAGGTTTTCCTATATTTTAAGGCCAAATGGCACCACCGTGATCACCTAGTCTGACCCTGTACATAAAATATGCCAGAGAATTTCACCCAGTAATTCCTGATCCAGCACAATAACTTATGGGTGAGCTAGAGCATTTTTTAAAATCAAGATTCAGCATCTTTCTAAAAGTTTTCAAGTGCTGGAAAATCCATCACATCCCTTAGGAAATTGTTCCAATGGTTAATTACCCTCATTGTTAACATTTTGCTAATTATTTTCCTTCAGTGTCCATTCACAATAGTAATCAAACTATGCTGGCCAGACTGGGTTTAAACCTGTTTAAATGCTGTTTTGCCAGAGTTTTATAAACTCTGTTTAAATAAAATCATTTCTGGACTACACAGCCTATAAGCAGTTGTATTAAAAGAAACATTTTTGTAAACAGTAATGCTTGGGTTATACTAGCCACACAAAACATTGTTCTAAAACCTGTTCAGCTCACATTATTTAATAACCAGTGAAGATGGAACATCAAGGTGACTTTCATGTTAACCGCACAGAAGAGCAACTTCTCATAATAAAGCTCGCCCTTTAGGGTTTTCAAACAAAAAGTAGTGTTTCTACATTAAACAGCTTTCTGTTAGTTCAGGAGTGGGCAAACTTTTTGGCCCGAGGGCCACATCTGGGTATGGAAATTGTATGGCGGGTCATGAATGCTCACGAAATTGTGGATTGTGCGGGCGGGGGTGCGGGCTCTGGGGTGGGGCTGGGGATGAGGGGTTTGGGGATGCAAGAGGGTTCTCCAGGCTGGGACTGATGGATTTGGAGGGCAGGAGGGGGATCAGGGTTGGGGCAGTTGTTTGGGGCACAGGAGGGGGCCAGGGTGCAGGATCTGGGCGACACTTACCACAAGCAGCTCCCAGAAGCAGCAGCCTGTCCCCCCTCTGGCTCCTATGTGGAGGTGCGGCCAGGAAGCTCTGCACACTGCCCTGTCTGCAGGTGCCGCCCCTGCAGCTCCCATTGGCCGTGGTTCCCGGCCAATGGAAGCTGCAGAGATGGTGCTTGGGGCGGGGGCTGCGTGTGGAACCTCTTGGCTGCCCCTATGCACAGGAGCCAGAGGGGGGACATGCCACTGCTTCTGGGAGCCAGCAGAGTGGGGCAAGCCCCTTACTCCGCTCCCCGGCTGGAGTGCCAGAGCAGGGCAAGCCCCAGACCCTGCTCCCCGGCGGGAGCTTGAGGGACGGATTAAAACATCTGGAGGGCCGGACGCGGCCCCCAGGCCATAGTTTGCCCACCCCTGTTAGTTACATTCTTTAGGTAGTGATCAATGAAAGGTTTGTAGCACTAAAACAGCTAATTATTAAACACAAGTTACTGGGCTCGATACAGAGGTGAGTGAAATTCCATAAAACGAAGTCAGACTAGATGATATAGTGGTCTGTTCACACCTTAAAAATCAATGAATCTGAGCTTTCTTATTGAAGAGCATCCCGAGAAAATTATATTGCCCAATATGAGAAATACCCAAGAAATACTGCAGGACTTTCAGGGAACATTCAGACCAGGCTGGATCAGAATAGAAAGGCACCTTTATGCCTGACTTACCCCATGTCCATGGCATTTTTTCTCCACATCGCAGTCATAGTTCAGAACAGAGACACTTACACACTGGAAGTGCCTACAGATCTAGGGAAGTAAAAAGAAACAAGATGACCCCCAATCCAAATAAGATGGTTTTGGACCAACAAATATTACCACCTCCACACTTCCTCCCTTCCCGTTCTCCAACCCCTGTTTTACCCTGGACTCTTGCTCAGTGTATGAGTTCGCTGCCTGTACTACTTCCACGCTACCTTCAATTAGTGCTGCACAGCAAGCTCACACCACTTGGAGAATGCACACTCTTCTCTCACCCTGGAAGCTTTAAGTCTGATATAAACTTGTTTGCTATAATAAGGAATTCATAAGGTTTGTTGCAAATGAGCTGCATTTTCATCTAAAATCCTTCCCACAAGGTCTTAATACAGAGCAGTAGTATCAGAATCATCCATGGTGCAAATGTACAAATAGCAAGGTACCATACCACTGCCGGGGAAGAGTACGGAGCAGCCCCTATGCTGAACTGTAGAAGGAAATAGTTGTGTCTCCTTTTCAGACAGCTTGATAATTACAATGTATGGACGCAGACCTGAATTTCCACCCGTTGCCTGAAAAGCAGTTTTTGTATAGCTAGTTCTTCTTGATCACCGATTTCCAGAGATCGTGGGTCTTAACCGAACTTAACACTTGCTTTTGTTTCTTCTAAAAAGAACTTCCCTTTAAAGGAATTTATTCACAGAGTCCATTTCCAGGGAGAGTGTTACTCAGTTAGTGTTGGGGAAGGAGGAGATGGGGAAGTAATGAATTGTTAAGTTTGGCATTAGTTGCATGCACCAACATGAAGGTGAATTAATATGTATGTGTATGCATGTAAACAAGGAGCTGCAGATGATATACACACATCTAACAACTCATTTAGGTTTTATCCTAGGAATATTTTAAAGTTATTAATTTGTTATTGCTTACTTTTCCAGTATTACATTTTGTGCCTTCATTCACCATTCCAGGATCTGGAACATCTGATCCTAGCTGGAAATCCACACCCCAACATGTAGTGCTTCTGATGGGGGTTTGAATAATTGCAGGTTCAATCCCAAAAACAGGCATGGTTTTCACATTCTCACACTGCAGCTTCCCACACATGGCATTCCTACAACAATAGTATAATTTAAGAACTGTTATGGTTCTGGTGTTTAATTCATGTAGAGGAAAGGATCTTTCTGGTCTTCCTTTCCTAATGGACAATTATTAAAGATCACATGAGATACATTCCCAAATACTAACATCACACTGAAGTGAAGAGCAGAACAAGAGTGAGCTGTACATCAGTCTAAAACCACAAGGACATGGATTTATGCCTGCTGTTGGCAAAAGTTTGTGATCCGCAAACAAAAGCAAATACACCCCTGCAGCACCGCTATGTAGTTAATGAGGGAAAAAAACAGTCTGCAAAAGAGCATGTCTACATGACACCATTATTCATAGTGCTTAGGGTAGCAAAAGAACAATACAATGCAAGTTCGTTATTTCCAAGATGCCGCTTTTTATATATTAATTTATTAAACTTTGCAGCAAAAATTGTTTGAAAATTCATGCCCATTTAGATAAAGACTAATATTATAATAGAGTTATAAAGTAATTTGAAATTTTTTGTACATTTATGTATTTGTAACCTAAGCTCCAATAACCCAGATTCAAAATTTAAGGCTTTAAAAGAACTTTTCTAAGCTACTTTATTTTGGTTTTTGAAAGACACACACAGCATCAGTGAAGGTAGATTATGAGGCAGTGTGTGTCTGACAAATCTCTATTGCCAAGTTGTGCTATGTATAAAGATTTGACAGCTGGCTAATTCTAAGGCATCTGAACGTGGATTTTTTGAGACTTCCTGAATGATACCTATTATGCATTCCCTTCTTCGTTAAACCAAACTCACCAGCTGGAACACTTTTTGTAGTCATGGCCATGGTAACCACAGTTGCCAAATCTGTCACCTTTGGAATTCACTTCAGCAAAACAAATGTTAGGGGCAGCCTTTGCTCCTGCAAAGACAGAGGGGGAACTAGGTCAGCTAACAGAGAGTTAGAGAAGCATCTCACATTGTGCACATACTTCTCTCTAGCCCCCAAAAACCATGTCGCATCTGCAGCATGAATAATCAGAAAGTTTGACCAAAATACACAAATGGGGTAAAACTGTTGGTCCAGATAGGTTCCAAGCTAACAGTACTGAGAGAAAATACAGTCACTTAGAAAGAATTATTATTAGCTGGACATTAAATCTTGATGAATAGATTTAGCCTTATAAATAGAATCTGACAACATGAGTGTATCATAGCAAGGAAATTAGTAGTCCTTGAATCCATAGCACCACAATGAATTTTATGGCACAATAAAATTTAATTCGTCATAAATACCAGAAATATTTAAAATCCTTTGCCAATTCCGGCTGGTCTTTTCTTATAGACTAAAAAAAACCTAAAATCCATATTCGTTAAACAAATTGGGTGTTTTCTCTCTTTTAGCCATGGCCCTCCGAAACGTTACAATCATCATCCTTACTTGAGCCGAAGATAGCCTGACACTGCGCATCGTAGTACTGGCAAACCCCATTGTAACAATAGGCTTCATCATTCTGGCACGGGTACCCATTCTGAACAGTGACGTCTTGCTGACAGAAATGGGAGGTCCCATTGCAGTACTCTGGGAGATCACATTCATTGGTACTTGCCCGGCACACAGTGCCTCCTGGAAGAAACTGGAAGGGCGGGAAAAAGGAAAAATAAAATCCCAAGCGAAGATCTAAAAAGCCATACATCAACATACATTCTGAAAATAAATCAAAAAACGGCCTAACAAACTGAACATGCACTTTGCTGAAGTCACCCTTTTGTGCTGGAAACATGCAAAAACCTTCCCAGCTCAGCAGAGACTATTTCCCTCCTGGATCCACTAATCAAGCCCGGCATTCCTTTTTCCTCAGAGTCAGTGGAGAATGCTTTAAGACATGAGATTCTTCCAACACCATCCTGGGATCTCTTACCCGACATTTTTTACAGCAGTCGCCATACGCACATTCAGCCCCTGCTCGGAGTTTACAAGTATCTGATTCACAGCAAGGATCACTTTCGCATTCCTGTAAATTAAAGCAGTAAGAGTAATTCAGTGAATGATAAAGAATCATATCTGACCCCTGCAGAAATGCAGGCAGTCTGCATTTAACATAGAATCATGTGAGCAACATTGGTGAACTGTCCCAGTTACTAACCTTTGGTGAACCACAGTCACACTCCTCCCCAGCATCCACCAACTTGTTGCCACAAAATGGGATGCTATAGGTTTCATCAGGGTTGGGAACATTAAGCAGGCAGCTTCCACCTTTGTTCAGAGTTAACTTCTCAAAGTCTTCTGCACTGCAGCTGCTGAAATTTCTGGACCCTCTGCAACAGAGTATTAGCCATTCTTTACACTATGTCTACTTAGGAGTTCTTCTTGACCAGCATTCCTGTGCAATAAAGAGTCAGTCTAGCAAAAAATAGAGCCAACAGCTAGAGACAGACAAGGACACTATAGTAAGATACCTCTGAATGTGGAATGAGATATAAATCTTTCTGCTACATTCGTAAAGCAAAAATCTTTACTTAAAGGAAAATTGACCACCCCTTAATAAAATATTTAAATAGTACCATGAGTTCAATGATATAACCTCCTGATGACAAAATAACAAACAGAGTCACAATCAGAAAAATAATACAGTACAAGGGAATAGGTGTCATCTAAACAAAGGTCTGGGAGCCATGAACTCCTGAGTTAAGTCATGTAACCTTTCAGTTCCCAAACACTAGGATAATATAGGGTTGTCCACATAGCAAGCTAATGGAAATAAGCTAGGTTGTGAATTTAAAGTGCAATAGCTATTCCACACTAGCTCCACAGGTGGACATTTCTTATTCTGCACTAAAAGTGCCTTTGTGCAGTTTTACTCCTGGCCGAATTCTGTGCCACTGCACATGCGCAGAATTTATGTCCCAAGCAGATTTCTTTGCTTCCCCATAGAAAAATTACTTTCTGACAGGGAAGCCAGAAGAGCGGTCATATGACTCTTTTCAGCAGTATGTTTCGGGTACCCAGGGCAGCTGGCAGAGAGGCAGATCACTGTGGGGCTGGGAACAGGACAGGGAAGGACCCAGCTGGTGCCTCCTACCCTGCACTGGGCTCAGCTGCTAGTCCCAGCTGGGCTGGGGAGAACTGGACTTCCTCTTCCCCTGCATGGCATCCGGGGCTGTGTCAGACCCACCCCCAAATTTCTCCCCCACTTCATAAAGCTTCCTGCACCCATCGCTCCTCAGCTGCAGGGGGAGGGATCACTGTACAGGGAGCTGCCCCCATATCCGCCCCCCCTCATACTCAGACCCTCTCGCAGAGTCTCACACACACACCCCGCACCCAGAACCTCCCCCGCTCCGACAAGCCCCACTCCCCCTGCACCTGGACCACCCCAACGAGCCACCCGCTCCCAGATCCCCACCCTACCGAGCCCCAACCAGCTGCACCTGGATCCCAACCCCACTGAACCCACTGAAAAACAATTAGTTTTTTTTAAAAAAGTTTACTTAAAAAAAAAAAGAAAAGAAAAAAGAATCACCTTTGTAAAATCAGGATGGAAGATAACTTTACAGGGTAACAAAAAGATTTAAAACACAAAGGATTTTCCCTCTAGGCACAACTTTAAAGTTACAAAAATAGGGATAAAAGTCCCTCTTAGCACAGGGAAAATTTACAAACTAAAACAAAAGATACTTTAAACGCATTTTCTTACTATTACTTACTATTTTTGTAATATTAGATGTATTATTTTAGTAGGAGCTGGATTACTTGCTTAGTCTTTTTCTTTGTTTTCCGAGAGAAAACCCACAGAGCACAAAACAAAGCCTTTTTCCCTCCCCAGATTTGAAAGTATCTTTTTTTCCCATTGGTTCTTCTGGTCAGGTGCCAACCAGATTATCTGAGCTTCTTAACCCTTTACAGGTAAAGGAGGGATTTTATGCTACCCTTAGCTATATGTTTATAACACCTGGTCTTTGCGCTGTGTCAGGGTTGGGTGCAGCCTCACCGTTAAGTCCATGTCCTGGGGAGGGGAGCTGCACAGTGATCTCCCACCAGCACCTGTGGCCTGTGCTCCCCAATGCCATGCTGGAGCCTCCACATTTATTTGACAAATAAAATTTGAAGAATTTTAAAATACTGTGTGCAGAATTTTTAATGTTTTGGTGCAGAATGCCATCAGGAGACACAGGTGAGCTTAGTCCACTTTAAGTGGACAACCTAGTTTAGTCTGCATTCATTTCATGTGTCGATAACCCCTAATATTTGCCTTCCTCCTAAGCATGTTGTGAAAATTAATTAACTGTTCATAAGAATGCTTTGAATAGTAACTGTGTCCTATAAATCTTTGATCATCATCTATGGACATATCCTCCAACCTGGCATAAAGGGAAAATTACTTACGATGCTCCAGAGTTCATAATACAGCTTTCTGCTCCACATTGACAAACTCTTTCATCATCATGGTTCATTCCCAGATTATGACCCAGCTCATGAGCCATAATTGATGCAAACATCTGCACACTGATTTGCCCAAACTACACAAGAGCAAAACAAAAAGAGTGAATTACTGTAGTGTCTGTTCTGGGAAGAAGTCAATGTTCCCCAGTCCCTTCAGAAACTTCGTACTAGGCTTAGTCACTGCACTAACGTGATCTTCAGAGTTGGGTAACCTAGATGGTTTTTGCTTTCTAACTTGTACGAGTATAAAGTTGACCAGTAGATTGGTAATAGGTTATAGAGCCTTGTGTCTCTAGCTCAGGGGTGCGCAAACTTTTTGGCCTGAGGGCCACATCGAGTTTCCAAAATTGTATGGAGGGCCAGTTAGGGGAGGCTGTGCCTCCCTGAACAGCCAGGCGTGGCCCGGCCCCGCCCCCTAGCCGACACCTCCTGCTTCTCCCCCCCGACGGCCCCCCCAGGACTCCTGCCCCCATCCAACGCCCCCGGGCCCCCTGCCCAACCCCCACTGCCCCATCCAACCCCTCCTCTCCTTCCTGACTGCCCCCCGGGACCCCTGCCCCCATTCAACACCCCTATTCCCTACCCTCTGACTGCCCCGACCCCTATCCACAACCCCGCCCCCATGACCACCACTCTGAACTCCCCTGCCCTCTATCCAACCCCACTGCTCC